CGGGCCGGTGCTGCCGCCCTTGCCCTGGGCAAGCAGGTCCTGGTGGTGGGCGGCGTGGATGCTGCACAAAGTCCCCTCGCCTCCGTCGAGGTCTACCACGTGGATGAGGGCAAGTGGGAGAAGAAGGCAGCCCTGGCTCAGCCCTCCATGGGCATCTCAGCTGTGCAGAGAGGTGAGGGTTGGGGATGGGGCTCAGAGAAGCAAGGATGGAGGAGTCAGGGATGCTCGGGTGGGATTGGAATCCCAGTGTTGCTTGGGATGCAGCACGAGTCTTTAACTTACCAGCCAAACTTGCCATTTACCAGCAGGGTCGTGCTCCTGCCCCTGCAATCCCTTTGTAGCCTGGGGCTGGGCGATGCAGGGCTCCTCCAGGCATGGGAGCAGCTGCCCTGGCTCAGAGCTGAGCATCCTGCTCCTGCCCAGCTCTGTGTGCTGTGTGCCAGACATGCTATGATTCCTGCTCAAACTTTGCTGAGCAGCTCTGCGTGTTGGCACAGCCTGGCACCCTGCTCGCTGGGAGCTGGGGTTGGTCCCCATATGTGGTGCCACGTCTGTTCCCTGCCTGGGACACCATGGCATGGCTCAGGGATGCAGCAGGATGGGCAGGACAGAAAGGCCAGCAGGGCAGTGGTGGGAGCGGGCAGGGGGGCTGGCTGCCCCTGCCAGGAGCAGGATTTGGCAGCATGGCTGTGTTGCCATGGTGTCTCCAGGGAGATGGTATTGCCGAGAATAATGAGAGCCCATGGCCTTGTGCTCTACTCTCTACCTGATGGATGGGGTGGAGAGAGGTGCAAAGGGGTCCCCGCAGGGTCAGGGCACTCCTGGGCTCAGGTCTGGCCACACTTACTGTCTCCTGGCCACCCTGGAGCAGTGGCTGGCCGTGGGGCTCTGCAGCGCCCATGCTGCCTGCCCTGGAGGACACAAGGAATCTCCCACCCTGCAGGCTGCTCATGGCCACCCCCCTCACTGCCACCTCTTTTGCAGACGGGGCTGTCTATGCACGTGGGGGAATGGGTGCGCCCACCTCTCCCCAGGCACTGGTCCGTGTCTACGAGCCAGCAAAGGACCACTGGCAGCCCCTGCCCTCCATGCCCACTCCCTGCTATGGGGCCTCTGCCTTCCTGCAGGGCAACAAGATCTTCGTCCTGGGTAGGTGCTGCTGGGGTGGGCCGAGCATCCCCAAGTGTCCCTTCCCTCTTCCTTCACTGCTTCCCTGGACCTGAGGGTGACCTGGTGCATCCCAGGGTGGCTCTGTGCCACCCTCCCACCCCGACACCACAGGGCCCATCCTGTTTTCTGAGCCCACCAATGGCGCCAGCTTGGGGCACCAGCAGCCACAGTGTCTCTCCTCTGTACTTAGGGGGCCGGCAGGGCAAGTTGCCTGTCACAGCCTTTGAGGCCTTCGACCTGGAGACAAGGAGCAGGACACGCTATCCCAGCCTGCCCAGCCGCCGCGCCTTTGCTGCCTGTGCCATGGCTGATGGGGTTGTCTTCAGCCTGGGGGGGCTGCAGCAGCCAGGGCCCCACAACTTCTATTCCCGTCCCCACTTCGTCAACACCGTGGAGATGTTTGACCCCACACAGGGTGAGCTTCATGTCCCTGGGTGGGGTGGGAGCATCCCCTGCAGATCCAGGATGCCTTCCTGGCTCTTGGTGAGGGATGTCTGTGCCCGAGGGACACAGCTTATCCAGGGTCTGAGCATCAGCCCTTTGTACCCATGGTGAGTCCTGCCCTGCACTTCATGTCCCTGGGGAGCCATAAGCCTGGGGTTGTCCTGGCCTCAGTGTGCAGAGAGGAGCCCTGGTGGGTGATGCTCATACCCTCTCGCCTGCAGGTGCATGGAGCAAGCCAAGCCGTGCCATCCGCATGAGGGAGAAGAGAGCTGACTTTGTGGCTGGCTGCCTGGGAGGAAGAGTGGTGGCCGTGGGTGGCCTTGGTAATGCTGGGGGAAGGCGCATGGCTACGTTCCCATCCTTCATGGCACAGCAGTGACTTGTGTGGCAGCAGGGAGGTTGGCTGTGTGAAACCACGGGGGTACTGCAACACTGCAGCTGTGTCTCTCCTGTGCCCCCTGAGTGCTACTGGGGCTTTCCTGCCCTGTCCCACAGGCTGGGGGGACGCTCCTACCTTGGCCCCAAGGCTGGCCCCACTGAGCCACTTGCCCCTTTTTGCCCCCCAGACAGGATTTCCCAGCTGGGTGTGCACAGCCCACACCGGCTCAGCCCCACCGCTCAGGGCTGCAGCACCGCATCCCTCTCCAGTGAGAGAGCTGGGGAAAGGTTAGTGCTGTCACTCAGCTGCGGATGCAGCAGGGAGGGCTGCTGGGGAGCCCAGCGCTGGCCCCAGCACCCCCAGCCCTGCAGCGAGGGCTGCCGGACCCTGCTGAGCTCCCTCAGCGTGAGCCGGACCCCCTGCTGCAGGGCTGGACCCCTGCAGTGTGGCGTTGCTTCTGAGCCCTGCTGGGGCTGTATCTGCCCTCCCCTGCCTCCCGGTGATGGCTGTGAGGTGCCAGCACGGGGGCAGAGCCTGCAGTGCGGCATCGATGCCTGCAGCCCTCCCCACGGGTCTGCCACTAATCCTCTTGTGCCCCTGCTAATTGCCTCTGGGATCACAGAGCCCCGCAGCCCGGGGCTCAGGGACCCGCCACTGCTCGGGCTTCCC